GGAAACAAACCGGACGTATGGTCAGCTCAGAAAATACGTTCAGTTCGGGAGAAAGAACAACCAACACTTAACCAAAAGAAGTCATTCCATTTCAAATAAGGGAGTGTACATTTCAAAAAAAAAAAATTACACGCCCAGAGCTACTTCTTCATTATCGGAAGGCACTTCAACGATACCCGAAGGCCCTACCTCGCCCTCGGAATATGGCTCACCATCAGCAGCATTGGCCATCTCCTGAGTTATGCGCAAAGTGGATATAGCACTGATGTCGAGCTCGGGGTATGTATTCCGGATCATCCACCGGCTTAGTTTAAAACCCCTCCTGTACGAATCCACCATCAGATCATCAAAGCGCGGTGAAGTGATGTACTCATCGACGGCCTTCTTCTTGGCATCTTCGATACCTTGAGAAAAGATCTGTGTCCTCTCCCTAATGTCCTCCTGAAGGTACTCAACCTGATGCTACAGATCCAGCCTCAGGTCCGCCATGTGCTTCACCACTACTCCCATGGCCTCGGCGTCTCTCTGAGACCTCGCCTACTGGATCTGTGCAACGCGAGCAGCCTCCTCGGCAGCACGAGCAGCCGCCTCAGCAGCTTGCGAAGTCGTCTCGGCAGCACGAAGAGCCTCTTCGGCAGCTCGCGCCTGCCTCGAGCTCCTTTCCACCTGAGCCGCCAAGGCGTGGATAAAAGAGTTCACCTACCAAAAAGAACAAGTGATCAAAAGAACCCATAAGCCACCATGGCATGAGTGACAGCATGAGTGACATGAGTGACAGCACGACAGGCCACCTGGTGCAGAGGGAGATCAGTCCACACCGCGACCTCCTCGGGGAAAATGGCCTCTTTACTCTTCTAAAAAGTGTGGGTCGGCAACAGTACACTCCTGAAATCCCCTAGGGGCCCCGAGCCTAAGGGCCCAGCTCGCGTATGAGCAGACCCAGAGTAAGCAGGAGCACCAGAGTAGGTAGGAGCACCCGTGTAAGTAGTCTCAGCATAAGGGACCCCTGCCGCCTCTTGCATTGGAGGAGCCATCTCGGGCTCCCTGGGCAGATCCTCTGACGGGTAGTCTAGCACCTCAGGCTCCGCATCCCGGGGCAGCTCGGCGCGAGTTCGCTTGGCGACTCGCTTCCTCCTCTTCATGCCTTGGAACAAGTGCCCACCACGGGTCCTTTCTGAGTCCATCACACCTGCGAAAAAGAGTTCGGCATCAGTAAAAAACAAGAGAGACAAAGCAAAACAGAACCTCTAAGTGAGGAACCTACCCGAACTCAGGTCGGCCGCATTGAGCTTGGCCTCCGTCAGATACTGTTGACACTTTAGCCCAAGCCGTGCCCATTGCCGGAGGCCTTTCACCGTCTCTTTGTCAAGCGT